GGAGCGTTTCAGTGGAATTTAGTTGACCTCTTTTCACTAGCACCGTAATATTTTCCTGCTTTCACTTCAAGCTCCAGTCAGAGTTCATTCCGTTTATTCCAACTTCCATTCCAACTTCAAACCCAGTTCTCATTACAATGGGAGTGCACTTCAACTCATCAAATAACTGCAGTGGAGAATGTGTGTTGTGGGGCTCCAGCTAAATGAGAGAGAGAAAGAGAGAGAGAAAGAGAGAACACACACCACCAAGACTCCATTTCTCAATTCTCTGATCAATAGCTTTAATTAAAACATTTCGATCACTGTCAAACTGCCCGTAAGACCTAATTAGATGTGTGTGCGCTAAGTACAGTTCCACAGTGCATGTACTTTTTGTTGTTTCTTTTTTGTTTAGTTTTCATTTCCTTTTTTCAAACAGAAAACAGTTACAGATTTCTCATTGAAATGAAGTGTTGACCACCCACAGCAGGTACTGGATTATAATGACTAATGACAAAGAGTTCTAGGCTACCATGAGGAGAGGTTCAGAATTGGTTAAGCAAACATATTAACAGAGGTAAACTATTTTTCGTATTAAAGTTGTTTGTATGAATTTCCCCTTTTGCATGTTAGTGTATATATATATATATATATATATATATATATATATATATATATATATATGTATATATATATGTATATGTATGTTATGTATGTATGTGTGTGTGTGTGTGTATGTGTGTGTGTGTGTGTGTGCGTGTTTGTGTGTGCGCGTGTGTGTGCATGTGTGCGTGTGTGTGTGTGTGTGTGTGTTGCGCTGGTATGTGTTGCACTGGTATGAGTGAGTCAAACACCACAGTGCTGCTGTAGTAGAACTGTGCAGGGACATTTTTGTATACTGACCCACTGACAGGACAGGTTCAATGAGCACCAACTGGACATTATAACTACTTATTACTATGCACTGCCACATTGTTTATACATCTGTACATATTGCATATTGCACTGCCACTTGTTTATACACTCAGGCATATTGCACAACTATTAACATATGTTACTGTTTACAGTGTTTAGTTAAGCGGTTCATTCACTGAACGTGACATGCATTACTGCATTGCCACTTGCATAAAATGTATGCAATTTTCCTTACTTATTTTTGTACTACACATTATATTTTATGGTTGTTTTAGTATATTAATATATAATATAATAGTGCACAGCAATACTTGCTCTTTACTGTGCTTTGTGCTGCTGTAATAGATGGCTTTCCCTCTGGGATTGGCAAAGTGATTTTGGCAGATGTCAGAAGAATGCTGCCAACTGGAATGCACAGTGCCAACAGTAAAGTTTGGTAGAGTGGGGATAATGGTCTGGAGTTGCTAAGTTAGTTCCAGTGAAGGGTACTGCTAATGCTACAGCAAACAAAGACATTTTAGACTATTATATGCCTCTAACTTTGTGGCAACAGTTTGAAGAACACCCTTTCCTGTTCCAGCTATGCACAAAGCCATAAAGACATGGTTTCAACCTGTGTAAAGGAAGAGTGGAGGATGTTATAGCTGCAAAGGGGGAGCAACTCCATATTATTACCAATGGTTTTGGAATGGAATAAAAAAGGGTTTTTCTATTGTTACAAGCTTGACATTGTAACTATAAAAGAAACTTTTGGTGCTAAACAGAACCCTTTTCAAAAAGGTTCTATGTAGAACCATATACAACACATTCTCCATCAATCTGAAGAACCATTTCACCATGCAAAAAATCCTTTAAGAATGCAAATGGTTTGAGTGTTCATGGTTCTATTTAGAAGCACTGACTTTACTAAACAACCTTTGAAGAACCATCTTTTTAAGAGTATATGTAATGCCACAGGAGTGATAACTATGAACTAGTCCTTGAGCATAGTCTACAAGTTGATAACAATCATTGAGATGAGTCTTGCCATTCACCTGTGTTATATCACAGTGCATTAGTTGCCCTAGTTTTTCACTTACAAAACTCCCAAAACTCTCTCCCTGTTTCTCTGCAGGTTCTGTCAGAACTCATCGCTCTAACAGCCATCAGACCTTCAGCCTGCTGTTTGCAGGGCCTCCACCCTTCTCCACTGTCTCCTCTACTGACTTATCAAATCTGAAAGAACAGCAGGCCGAGTGATTAGACTTCCATCAGCATTCAGAGAAAAATTAGCGCTTTGCATGAGTGCAAATACACAAAGATGCTGGTGTCACCAGGTCCACGGCTCCACGTAAATACCGTCACGGGGTTCGGTTGACTTCTAACGAGTTCTGCTTAAGGGTATGGCGAGTGTTCTGAGTGGCAATTAGTGTCACTTAGCAGATGCGCACGGCCCGATGCGTGGGGTCTGTGTGTGCTTGGGGTAGGGGGATGGGGGGTCGTGAGACACCCTGCAGAGGGAAAGAGGCAAAACAAAGCACAAGCAGCGGGATGTGCGGGTTGCTTCTCGGAACTATGATGTCAGTGCCCACACCCTCACACCCTTAACGCGCATTTGAGTTCTCCAGGTGGAAAATCATGAGCTTGCATGTAAATGTTAAGAAATTAATCGTAGTTTAGTTGTCAGTCCTCAGTAGGTCTATGCTCAGATCATCAAGTTATGGGCCCCTGGGCACAAATGTTTAGTGGGCCACTATCTGGCAACATTTTATGGGTGGTCAGTGATTTTTCATCAAGTTAAACAAGGCCTATGCAGCAGCACAATGGCAGCATACTAACCACAGTGTTAGCACGTCACCACTATTGGCCGCACTTTTTTCCAGTCAAGACAAAACAGCAGCAAGATTACTTACACATTAGAGCACAGGTTAACATTAGCACAACAACCAATGCTTCCCTACAAAGCATGCATCCATAAAACCCAGCGGATGACCATTTTGTAAAGGCAGTATTTAAAATATGGTTACCTTTTAGAATTTACAGAGAATATATTTCAAACATTTAACCACTAAATTTAAAAACATATGTAATCTTTAAAAAAAACAAGGGCAATGCTTGTTTATTAACTTTTTTTTTGGAAAATCAGCACACAGTGTGTAGAAAATGTGCTCAATAGATGAACACTGAAGTACTTCTTTACAAACAAAGTTCCTGCTAAAGCCTGAGTAGACTGATGAATCAAGGTGATGAGCCCATTATTAATCTCAGTGCTCTTTTGAGGGACAAGCAAGCTAATCATCTCTTTAGTAGTGGACATGTTTGCAAAAGATAAGCTCAGCATTGGTGTTGTATTGGGCTCCTGCTCGGGGAGTGGCTTCTCAATATACACTATATTGCCAAAAGTATTTGCTCGTCTGCCTTCACACGCATATGAACTTGAGTGACATCCCATTCTTAATCCATAGGGTTTAATATGATGTCGGCCAACCCTTTGCAGCTATAACAGCTTCAACTCTTCTGGGAAAGCTTTCCGCAAGGTTTAGGAGTGTGTTTATGGGAATTTTTGACCATTCTTCCAGAAGCGCATTTGTGGGGTCAGACACTGATGTTGGACGAGAAGGCCTGGCTCGCAGTCTCCGCTCTAATTCATCCCAAAGGTGTTCTATCGGGTTGAGGTCAGGACTCTGTACAGGCCAGTCAAGTTCTTCTACACCAAACTCGCTCATCCATGTCTTTATGGACCTTGCTTTGTGCACTGGTGGAACAGGAAGGGGCCATCCCCAAACTGTTCCCACAAAGTTGGGAGCATGAAATTATCCGAAATCTCTTGGTATGCTGAAGCATTAAGAGTTCCTTTCACTGGAACTAAGGGGCCGAGCCCAACTCCTGAAAAACAACCCCACACCGCAATTCCCCCTCCACCAAACTTTACACTTGGCACAATGCAGTCAGACAAGTACCGTTCTCCTGGCAACCGCCAAACCCAGACTTGTCGGAATGCCAGACGGAGAAGCGTGATTCGTCACTCCAGAGAACACGTCTCCACTGCTCTAGAGTCCAGTGGCACCGCTTTACACCACTGCATTCGACGCTTTGCATCGCGCTTGGTGATGTAAGGCTTGGATGCAGCTGCTCGGCCACGGAAACCCATTCCATGAAGCTCTCTATGCACTGTTCTTGAGCTAAGGCCACATGAAGTTTGGAGGTCTATAACGATTGGCTCTGCAGAAAGTTGGAGACCTCTGCACACTATGCGCCTCAGCATCCGCTGACCCCGCTCTGTCATCTTACGTGGCCTACCACTTCGTGGCTGAGTTGCTGTCGTTCCCAATCACTTCCACTTTGTTATAATACCACTGACAGTTGACTGTGGAATATTTAGTAGCGAGGAAATTTCACAACTGGACTTGTTGCACAGGCGGCATCCTATTACAGTACCACGCTGGAATTCACTGAGCTCCTGAGAGCGACCCATTCTTTCACAAATGTTTGTAGAAGCAGTTTCATGCCTAGGTGCTTGGTTTTATACACCTGTGGCTACAGAAGTGATTGGGTGATTGGAACACCTGAACTCAATAATTTGGATGGGTGAGTGAATACTTTTGACAATATAGTATATGTTCTAAATGTATTTTGAATGCATTACTTTTTGTGTAATATAATGTAATACATTACTGGATATATTTAGGACATTTTTTTCAGTATTCAGCCTTCACTACTTTTTCAAAGTATTTTGCACAACTCTGTGTATGCACTGATCATAGAGTAGTAGGATTTGTAACTGGCAAAATCTGTTGATTGTTGTTGGTATTTTTGCAGTTATTTCATGTCCTATTCGTTTTCATACGCAAACCGTGAACTCATAGTCCATCAGGAGTTTTCATATGTTTGATAGACAGTATATGACTAATTGCAAGACATAAACCATTTAAGGAGATGAACATAGTTGGTAGAGAGTGCCAAGCACCTTGCGTAAAGATGCGCAAAAACCATGGCTACCGTGCGACCGTGCGCATGATCGACGCTGTGAACTTTGTCACTCCTCATCACTCACGCGAGCACGATGGAAACCCCCCTTGCCTCATGACGTCAGACAGATCGCTTAAAAAGATGGGTTTCGTGGGTGGGATGAGATCAGCTGCGACAGAGGGACAAAGAAGAAGCAACCACCAAATCCTCACGACTCTTCAAGCCATTTCCCGCCAAACCCAACGTTGGAAAGATGCTCTCCACGCGTGTTCAGTGCGCTCTCGCGCTCCTCTCCCTCGCACTCGCGCTCAGCAGCGTGTCCGGCGCTCCGTCCGATGCCAAACTGCGGCAGTTTCTTCAGAGGTCGCTCCTCGGCCCGTCCGGAAAACAGGTAAAGAAAGAAAGAATGCGAGAGAAAAGAGAGGAAAAACTAGAGTGAGAGAGAATGAGAGAAAGCGCAATAGAGATTTTCTACATCTTTCTCCTAAGGCTCCAAAGTCTGCAAAACATTAAGTTAATATCGTATTAAAAGTTTATTCTCGACAATTGGTTTTAAAACGCTTTTATAATGAGTTACGCACCGTAGCTATTGCGCAGTTACGCTGAGCTACGCCGAGCTGTCCAAGGTTCTGAAAATTTGCAAAGTGCTGGAATGTTTGGATTTTCATTCTTCTGCAGGCTTTTGAACACTTGCATTATCTAAAACAATGACCTTTAGTTTGTTTTTGAATGGTTTTCATTCTTTTTTAATATCTTTGCAACGCAAGGCGCTAAAGAACAACGACTGTAGTCTGTAGGACTTAAACGATTCATTGAACGGGTTGCTTCTCTTGTCTCAAAGTAACAATCATTTACGGGTGAACTGCACTCCTAATACTGTTATAAACAAAGGCTCCTAAACGGTTCTTGTGTTGGACGTACGGTTCTAGCACAGACCATTTAATGGATATGGAGGCTTTACATTATGTAGAGGTTCTTTGAGCACTCCACCTAATGAACACTTTGAACACTTGGATTCACTCACACGTCTCATTCAGTAGTTCTTCAAGGGTTCTTTAGTACAGGCAGTGGTTCAATTTAGAACCATGAGTTCTATAAACAACTGTTTCATTGCATCTCGAAATGGTTCTTCAGAGTGATAGAGAATGTGTTGTATGTAGTTGTATAGAGAACCTTTTTGAATATGGTTCTATATGGGTTCTACTATTGTTACGAAGTCAATCAATATAAGATAATATAACCTTTTGGTGCTATAGAGAACCATTCAACCTGAAGAGACATTTTATCATACAAAGAACCATTTAAGCATGATAGAACTCTTTGTTCTAAGTAGAACGATTACCTTTACTAAAGAACCCTTGAAGAAGCACCTTTTTAAGTGAGTGGAGCCTTTTTTGACGCACGTTAATGTGTGTGTGTGTGTGTGTGTGTGTGTGTGTGTGTGTGTTTGCGTTCCTCTGAACAGGAGCTCGCCAGATACACGCTCGCAGAGTTGCTGTCAGAGCTGGCGCAGGCGGAGAATGAGGCGCTGGAAGCGGAGGACATGCCCCGCGGAGCTGAGCAGGAGGACGTGCGCATGGAGCTGGAGCGCGCCGCCGGTCCCGTGCTCGCGCCCCGCGAGCGCAAAGCCGGATGCAAGAATTTCTTCTGGAAAACTTTCACGTCCTGCTAATCGTTCGTCATCAAATTATCGCCGAGGTCTATTTTTTCCCCAGTTTTTTCTCTCTTTTTCTCTCCTTTTGGTTCCCACGCATTCACGACCACATCATGATGTTCATTATTAATGTCTCCAAAAAGATGTAAATAAGAAAATAAAAGTTGTTACGTTTGGTCTTTTGACGACAGTGACGACAGTTTTAATTGGTCATTGATCATTTTAAGTTTTGCGGAGAGACTCGTGAGTAACTATGAAAGGATGCTTTACGAATGTATGGAAATTCTGCTAATGATTGTGCTTTAGGCAGAAAAATATTTTTAATTGTTTGTTTGAATAAATATCTATGTTTCAGATCCAATGCGTTATGCAGATTTGTCATCCCAGTCCAAGACATGCACGAGAGAGAGAGAGAGAGAGAGAGAGAGAGAGAGAAAGGAGAAAGAAGCTTATATTAATAGAGAACGTTTACAAACAGTGAAATTTTGGTCTAAGTTCAAATTTGTGTCTAAAAACTGACCCATAAGCGAATATTGAGAAAATACCTTTATAGAAACCTATTTGTAGAATACAGTAGAATAGAATAGAAAAGAAAACAAACTTAAAAAAAAGGTTCTTCAAAGGTTGTTTAGGAAAGGCAATGGTTATACTTGGACCTGTGAACACCCACTGAACAATTTCAATGCATAAATGGTTCTTTACATTGTTAAATGGCTTTTCTCTATGATGGAAGACCTGCTGTACATGGTTATTTAATAAACCTTTTTAAAATGGCTGTAAGTAGCACTGAAAAGGGTTATTGTTAAAAGTATTTTAAATGTTTTTGATACTTCATTGAATCCTTTTTGTATAAAGGTATAGAACAGAATAAAATAATTATATAATTAACTATAAAATAACCAACTTGAAGATGGTACAGTAGAGAAGACTGTCTGCCCTTCATTAATCTGTTAAAGGAAGAATAGGTTTGGTTAGCTTGTCAACACAACACAAAAAATGAGGCATGAATAACTGTGATTTGTTACAGTTCACTTAGAATTTAGAATATGAGTCTTTGTAAGAGTGTGAGGGAGAGAGAGAAAGAGGGAGAGAGAGAGAAAGAGAGAGAGAGAGCATTAAGGACAATTAAAATGGGCTGGTAAATTAGCTAGACTTTTAATAACCTCTCCCACGCTAATGTCTTCTGTTAAGAAAGCTCTCAAACAATTAAACCATGAGTGGGTATGATTGCTTTTGGGCTGAGTCTCAATGAATGTGTGTGTGTGTGTGTGTGTGTGTGTGTGTGTGTGTTATCTCCCTGCACAGGCTGGGTTCCTACACAAGAGTCCTGGATTGACAGACTCATGAAATATTGTGTTTTATTACCCTGAAAAAAGTTCAATGGCTCATTTCATAAATGACCCTGGAAAAGGAAGCAATTTTACAGGCTTAAGTTGTAAGAAAATGTTTCTATAAGAAGTAAAACAACACTAGACAGAGTGTATGACACAGCAATGCAATATAATGAGATTTGAAACAAAGCACATAGAAGAAAAATTATATAGTTCAACAAAATGGCGAATGGTAAACTACACTCTTAAAAGTACAAATCCTAAATGGGTATTGGCTTGGACATACACTTGTAGGAAAACTCTTCAGTTGGTTAGGAATCTGTGCATTATGTGGTTCTTTAAACTTAAAAAACACTCTTCACACTTCCATATCTCATTTTTAAAATTTTGTTCCTTAAGAAGGGAAACAAAAGTGGTTCTTTTTTTTGGTGTTGCTCTAAAGAACCCTTTTCAGCACCATTATTTTTTAAAAGTGTAAATTAAGCACCAGCACAGAGCTACAGTGTATTAACTGAAGTGTTGTGCTTTCACAGTGTACATACTGTTTCCTTTATAAGTATAAATCGACTTTCCTCTCTAAATCAGAGGTGTCCAAGCGCCTTTGCTTGGCGAGGGGGGAAATTCAATCTCAGTCATAAAATCACCAGTGTTAAATTAGCTCAACCAGCATTAAATGGGCAGAGGAGGCTTGCATAAACTCTTCAGGTGTTCATTTAACACTGGTGACTTCATCGCATAAGCCAGAGGAACACAAAATAACATGCACACCATTCAAGAAGAAAATCCATGTGAGATGTGTCTGGGAAGCAATGGCCATAAAAAAACCCACCAGACTTTCAAAATTGATGTTCTATCTTGGGCTATAGTTTTGCTCTAAAGCACTGTCTCTAGTCCTATCTTGGAGTGCCTATACACTTTGTCCACATCTAAAACATCTTATAAGTTAATTTTGGCTTGCTCTATTCAGAAAATAGTGGAAAAAAACAATTGCAAATAGCAAGTCTTTGTTTTCCATGGAGCACGTCTTAAAGTTCAAATTGATTTCTGATAGCAGTTCTTGTTTGATGAAGACACATGGTTAAATAATGAATTCACATCTATTAAATGTCACTGAAAGGACAGAGATCCATGTTTATCTGTTGTTATAGACATCTCATCCATCTCTCTCCTGATGAATTAAACTCACATACTTGACAATGACTCTTAAGTACATACCTACCATCCTAATCCTAATAGATAGAGAAAAGGGTGATGTAAAACATTTAGAATTCACAGATTTACAGAATTTATAGTACAAAAGTGGATAAACCATGAGACTTGACAACTATTCTAGCAAGTTGCATAAGTCAGATGTGTTGAAAGTAGTACTTAGGCCGCAACATTCTAAGCTAAGCAGCATGACAAATCGTGTTGAAAGAGGAATTCCACTGTTTTTTTTTTATAATTTCTGCATAATCAAATGATTGTGACATACAAAATTGTCATTTAAAGTGGTGTGATGTGAAATCCTTCATTCTGGTGAAACTTATCGAGTCAGAGTTGCTCACAGTACTGGTGACAGAAACCAGACATCTCAAGAATTTTATGCTTCTAAAAGCTCCCTCACAGAACATTACAACATGAAATGGTGTGAACATGCTGCCTGATGCCTCAGATACTTTTTTTTACGACAGTTTTAAGGTAAGCTTTTGGTCTTAAATGTATTTTAGTAATCCATTCAAGGCAAAAAGGTGCATGCAGGGTGTTATAAGGCAATGCAGTAATGTTAGTAGTTTTAACACTATTCTACCATTATCAAAATGACATGTAAAACCTCAGAAGACGTGATGGCTCACTGGTTGTTTTGTAAAATAAATAAAATTGCTGCATTTGCACTGTATGTTTCTACACAGTGAGCCACTTCACATCAAACCACTCTGAATGACTTTGGTTACATATAAGTTTTGTAGACATTTTGAAAAATCAGTGGAATTCCCCTTTAAAGCAAATGTGTGACAAATATGATTACATGCACTAAACTGGTGTGCTGCATACAAATACAGGTCAATCTAGATATTTTTGAATACTTAAAATGATAGGATCTTTTATTTCAGTCACATTTTATTTTGATGCTCCCCCATGGCTGATTTATAAATACTCATGTTCTGAACAGCTGTTAGTTGAGAAACGTGAGTCATATTTGTAAGAGTCAGAATTAATGTTTGGATTAGGGTCAGGTATGGGTATGACAAAGTTGAATCTAATCTAATCTAATCTAATCTAATCTAGGTTAAGGTGAAATTTATAATTATTTAATTAAATGTAAGTTAAGTACAACATGAGCATCTATTTATGTGTTAGTTCTTTTAAGCGTGCTTGGTCAAAGTCTACATTATAATAAAGACATAAAACAAAAAAGAACAGTGGTTCCCAAAGTCAGTCCTGGGGGTCGGATGCTGGCTTTTTTGTGTTTTCAATACTGGAACATGTCTGACCCAGCACATGAGAGGCATATTAATTAGAATCGGAGTTGAAACAGGTAAGTTAGATGAGAGAGAAAGACTGAAATGTGCATTGTGTGGGGTCCCCACGGGTGGTATTGGGAACCTCTGGCCTTAAAATATAAATAATAAAGGGGAAACATGACAAGAAAAAGTAAGACCATTAACAAACTGTAGTTGCTAATGATGTATTGGAGACTTTACATTGCTGGAAAAACACAACCATGACACAAACATGAGTCATTTCAGTGTAAGAAATAAAACATATTATCCAGTCGTCATTAGAACAATGTGTTACTTCCTTACTTTTTATTTGATTTTTTTTTGTCTTAAAGAACTCTTCTGCGTATTGAGTAGAGCCATTTTAAATAGATCATTAATTCTGACATTTAGAGAGATTCTTGAAATTTTTAAATGTGGAAAGAGGAGATACACCATGCCACCTTTCTCCCCCACTTTTGGCACATACCCTTTTTACTGTACTCCCCCCTTACTTTGTGCTTTCTCTCTCTTCTGGCTGTACTTTGACTCTACACTCTCCACATTCTGAAAGACTTGATCTGTTAATATGTGTGTCTCTTCACTTGGATCTTGTCTTCATCTAGGAGCTTTACAATAAGCAAACATTTTATGGGAGAGCACCTTGTGTCTATAGGAGACGTGATTATTAGGGATCAATGTTCCATTTCTGCACTATTGAGTGGTTTCACTGAATTCAGCTCACAGTATAGATTGGTTTAAATGAACCGAATACTTGTGGACAATGAACAAGTATTCGGTTCATTTAAACGCATGGTTAAATCAAATGAACAAGACCTGACATCTCGTGAAATTCCCTTCAATATGTGTGGTGCTGAAATCTGTATGTGCTGACTTTACTTTGTTTGAACAGAATTGCAAAGTATAAATGTTAATACAGTGTTTTTTTAAATACCACACGGCAGGGTGGCGGATCACTCTTGGTACGAGTGGAATGTTTGTAATTTGTTGGTGCACTTAGTAGATGTAAAGTTTTGGATAGTTCATCTGTAGCTGCACAGTCCTTCATCAGTGGTCACAGGATGCTGCCTGCAGGACGCTGCTGGCTGGATATTTGTGGTTGCTGGACAAGTGTCCTTGGCTTGAGAAAGGTGCTATATAGATTAAACTAATTAATATTTATTATTAAGAAATCTAAATGGCAGTTGGCTTAGTCATACATTTTTAGGAAAAAACGTTTAATTGGGACAGAATCTTTACATCATGTAGAAATTTTTTGATCCTCTCTGGCACCTTTATTCTTTTAGGGTAGCTTTACTAGTGTAGGCTAATGCTGTAAGCATTAGGGTTGTTGTGGTCATTGTTGGGTAGGAGTTGTTCTGGGAATCAGACTTTCGAAGGATATCTGTGAGAATACTTTGGTTTGCAGCCAAAGTTAGGTCATCTATGCTCACTGATACACGTAAGCAAGACATACTTTCATTCTGTGTGACCTTTCTTTCCTTATGCGTGTGTGTGTGTTTGTATGCATGTGTGTGAACTCCTCCTATTCTTTTGTACCATCTAGCTATGTCTAATGTTTCTAATTTACTATTTTGTTTCTAACACTCAAACCCTGTCTAGAGGTGACGTGTCTAGGCATGCATATCCATCAATAGCTACTCAGAACATGCACACACTCACACACACACACACTCACGCACACACACCTGTTTATGGCTCCATTTACAATTCACACGTCACGCTAGCGCTAACATCCGCTACCAGGCTTTTTAGCGTAATTAGTGAGCCTTCAGCAGATTCAAATAGAGAGCACACTTCTGCCTTTCCTTCTATTAAAACTCATTAACATGCGGTTAAAGGAAGCCGTAAGAACCCTGCACCTTTAATTCAATATTCGCCTGGTGATATTGTGTTTAAATGACTAATTTCTCTCTTTTTTTGGGCAGCATGAAAAGATTCATTCTCATGCCTTTGGAGGGGTG